ACTTATAGTTTAGAAAATATTTGAGGTGGTAGTAGTTATTGCCCCCCTGTATACATATTTTAGAACTGGGATTAATAGAATTTTGTTCTATTATGCGTATGTAGTATTTGATTACAGCTAACCATGACCTCATGTGCTTTTAAGACGCAGGTAGTGTCATGATTTGGTATTTTTAATGCAGTTGCCTTTTTGGTCTCGATTATCGCGCAACAGAAGACGATTTACTTCGTGAATTTATCGCTGTTGAAGTATATAGAATAAAATTCTAACATATCCATCAATAGTTTTTATTAGGACAAGGCTTCATTTCCACCATTTCTGATTACCATCAGTGTTTTCCCCCATTAGAAAATTAAGAATGCTTTCCTTCGTACATTCATTAGTTCAAATGCATCATATTAATATGTATGTATCATATTAAATTAATTGTATGGAAATGTATATTATATTAAAGATGATTGAAAATCAAATACTTATATTTCATACTACGTGATCTACATAAAACTACTGATCAAACGATGATTATTCTTATGTGCCAATATTCTTTGTAAAAGAGAAACTTGTTTCTATGCTTTTCATCATGGTTTATACTGATGTTATTAATATGATTTTCAATAAGTATTGAAATACAATTGGCATTACATTATTCTCCCTTTCTTCCGCAATACACTGCATTTAAAATTTTGTCATATCATTCTCAGTTTGGTTTTTATGAGGTTTTTCCCAAACCTTAGTAAATTCTTCCGGTTATTTTCGCATAGGTACCCGTTTTTCGTTCGGTACTAAAAGGATTAAACGGTACAAATTATTTTTAACGTTTGCTCACAGATGGAAAAAGAAACATTAGAGCAGAAATTGTTAGAAGCAGAAGCAGACGTGAAGTTGTGGAAAAGAGAGGTAACTGCTGCTTTGGAGGCTAGAGAGAAGGAATTGTTAGCAAGAATCGAGAGAGCTAAGCGGCGAAAAGCTGCTAAGCTCAAACTGAAATACGACGACCTGAGGAATAAAATAGACGGTTTGTCTCTCGTCACGGACAAGCTTATAAATACAATGGAATCAGAAACTGTAGATAGTGATCCATTAAGTTTGTTGGCCGCTACGGACATCGTGTCAGCTGAGGTATTTCAAATAAAATATTTATAGTAGAATCTCCATTATATGAACTAAATGGGGAACAAATAAGTTCATATAAGAGAATTTTCAAGTAACAGTGGTTTATGTAATAGAACGCTTACATAA